TCCCTAGGTGTGAGTGAGAGAGTGAATGATTGTTTGTCTCCATGTGTCCCTGTGATGGACTTGCGACCCGTCCAGGGTGTACCCCGCCCCTCGCACAGTGATTGCTGGACATGGGCACTGGTGACCCCCATGACCCAAAATGGAAGAAGCGGGTAAAAGATAATGGATGGATGGAATTTGGAGTTTTCATTAGTTGTCAGTTATAATCATCAACATTAAAATAAACATTTGAAATATATCAGTCAGTGTGTAATGAATGAATATAATATACAAGTTTCACTTTTTGAATGGAATTGCTGAAATAAAAAATAAATAAAAAAATCAACTTTTTTGTGATATTCTAATTTTATGACCAGCACCTGTATAATTATTTTTGACATCTTTTTCAACAAAAAAAAAAAAACACTTCTGTAAAGGAGAGGTTTAAATTTAAGGAATGAATATACATAAGTTATTAGAAAAAAAATTAGTAAGAAGGAGAGAAACCACAAGTTGTTTCTGCACATTCTTATTTTATGCAGATTTGGCCACTTCCACAATTGAAGAGTTCTTTTATGCATTGTTAGCTTCCCTGAACTTCATTCATTGAACTCCACTGAACTGAACTGTAAACAAAGTCTGCAGATAACTAGTCGGTGTGAATTCTTTGACTTGTCTCCATGCATACATACAGTATGTAACTGGTCCTAAATGGGCCATTGCAACTAAAAAAGCCAGTTAAAAAAATATCTTCACCTGCTGCGAGATGTGGTTCTTTAGAGTAATCAGCGTTAGTGAACGAGATAATTTTTTCTAACAGTATGCATCATTTTGAACCTTTGAGGATCTCCCAAGTCGGGTCGCGGGGGCAGCATCTTGAGCAGTGAAGCCCAGACATATCTTTCCACAGCCTCTTCCAGCTCTTCTGGGAGGATTCCAAGGCGTTCCCAGACCAACTGAAAGACATAGTCTCTCCAGCATGTCCTGGGTATTCCCTGGGGACTCCTCCCAGTTGGACATGCCTGAAGCACCTTCCTAGGGAGGCGTCCAGGGAGCATCCTTACCAGATGCCAGAACCACCTCAACTGGCTCCTCTCGATGTGGAGGAGCAGCGGTTCTACTCCAAGTCTCTCCCAAAAAACCAAACTTCTCATCCTGTCTCTAAGGGAGAGTCCAGCTACTCTGCGGAGAAAACTCATTTAAGCCACCTGTATCCACAATCTTATTCTTTCTTTCACTCCCCAGAGCTCATGACCATAGGTGAGGGTAGGAACGTAGACCGACTGGTAAACAGAAAGTTTTGCCTTACAGCTCCGTTCTCTCTTCACCACAACAGACCGGTACAGAGTACAGATGCTGCACCAATCCGTCTGTCAATCTCACACTCCATTTTTCCTTCACTCGTGAACAAAACCCCGAGATTCTTTAACTCCTCCACTTGAGGCAGAACCTCATCCTCGATCTGGCGAGAGCAATCCACCCAGGGGTGGAAATTTAAAAAAATTATCCACCAGCCACTGTGGCTGGTGAATAATTTTTTTACCAGCCACTCAAACATTTTACCAGTCAATATTTTTCTTTTTGTTCCTAATGCTTTCCTTTGGTTACAAATCCCACCATTATAATCAGATTATATAAATCATATGATTTATTTTTAACTCTGTCAGAAAAACCATTTACAGTAAAGAAGTTTACCATACTTATGTACTTAGTCTTATTTAACATAGCACATCATGTACACCATGACATCCTCTCTCTCAGTCGGTGATGGAGGCTGGAATGGAGAGGACGAGGTCCACCAAGCTGAGCACATCAGGGCACTGATGCTGTAGAATTAAATTAATCTTGGGCCAAGTTGTAGAAAAAAGAGTGTCATTGGTACAAACATTTTTTTTAGAATTGTCCACTGGTCTGGGATGAGATCAGTTGTCAATCCTGAGACTTGAAGGACTTGTCAGTTCATCTACCTCTGCCTCCCCAAACTCTGCAGAAAGACACACAAATAGTCCCACAAATATTTAGTTATACTACATGGATCACCAAATGTGTAAATTATTTTAAAATTGAAAAATATTAGGACAAATTATATACCTTCAGGGTGTTGTGCATCAGGCCAAGACTTCAGATCCACCAACTTGGTTGCATGAAGAACCCTGGAATTCATCAGCAAATCGGTTCTACAACTTCTCACACAGAGTGTCCAGGAGATGGATCTTTGCTTTCCTCAAGCTTAAGATCTCATTCCACTGGTGCTGGTCCATGCAGACTGCCAGTTTGGGTCCAGGATTGTGGTGGATTAGTACACTTAATTTATAATAGAAAGTCATTGACAACTTCACATTTTGCATTCAATGTCTGGACTTCTCACCTTATTTTGTATTTTGCCAGCACTGACTGGGTGGAGGTGAGACATCCATGCACTTCAGCCAGGTGCTGCCTGTCTGTATTCCCTTGTTTTCATCTAATCTACAATGAAGGAGAAAAATTATATATCATCATCTGATTTTCCACATAAACTGTGATAACTTTAATTGCAACACCAAAATTACTGTACACTCCGTTTACATACACTGATAAAGCATTGCTACTTGCCAGTATTAACACAACACGATGTGTTACTATAAGACTAAGGTAGCTAACATTATGATACATGCTTAATAGTAAATGCATTACTTACTTGCAGAGCCATTCATAACAATATGTTCAGCTTTTCATGCTGGGCTGATTTCAGCTGCTCAGTGCACTCATAGCAGCAGCAGTTTTCTTCTTGAACAATGCATTTCACCTCCTTGTTGCCTTTAGATGATTTGTGGTCCTTGATGGTCTCTAGTGTCTAATGTTTTGTCTTACTGGAGAGCTCATGCTGCCAACAGCTGGAACAAAACATTGGCTGCTCTCATCAAAAACGAGACAGTCACGTAACTCGCCATTGTAATTTCCTTTACATATTTTGTTAAAAAACTAATTGGTAAATGGACTGTACTTATATAGCACCTTTCTATCTTATTTCAAGATACTCAAAGCACTTTACAATCGGTGTCCTCATTTACCCATTCATACAGCTCTATACTAGATCTCTGCAAAGCTAATTGAACAAATTATTCTAAAGAGACTAATCAGAGCTTTATCACATTCAAACACTGATGGGACACACATCAGAGGCAACGAGGGGTTCATTGTCTTGCCCAGGGACACTTCAGCATGTGACTGCTGGTGGATTCGAACCCCCAGCTCTTGCATTGAAGGACGACTGCTCTAACCTCTCAGCCACAGCCGCCCCTACCCACAGTTTATTCCTCAACTCCTCTGGAGAAACGGTTTTGTAGTCTGCGACCTACTTAACTCCTGAAATATACCGTCACATTGCTAAAGGCTAAAGCTACCGTTTCCTCCTTCTTCTAATGGCAATTCAAGCAAACTAGCAGCAACTCAGGCACATTGCTACCCCTACAGTCGGGAGTACAAATTGAATGATTATTTTTTTCTTTTCAAATTGCAAACCTGCCACAGTGGCTGTTGCATTGTTCATTGTTCATTGTTGCATTACATGCCACTTCAAACTTTTACCCTCATTTAGCCAGTGGCGGGTGCCAATTTCCATCCCTGAATCCATCCTTTTCCGGTTGAGGACCATGGCCTCAGATATGGAGGTGCTGATTATCATCCCAGCCACTTCACACTCGGCTGCAAACCGCTCCAGTGAGAGCTGAGGATCATGGCACGATGACGCCAACAGGACCACATCATCTGCAAAGAGCAGAGACGGAATCCTGAGGCCACCGAACCGAAAACCCTCCGCCCACTGGATGCACTAAAAAATTATGTCCATAAAAGTTATGAACATAATCTGTAACAACGGGCAGCCCTGGCGGAGTCCAACTCCCACCCTGAAGGGGTCTGACTTGCTGCTGGCAATGTGAACCAAGCTCTCGCACCACTTGTAGAGGGACTGAGCAACCTGTAGCAACAGGCCCCCAATCCCATACTCACAGAGCACCCCCCACAGTGTATCCCAAGGAACATGGTCGAATGCCTTCTCCAAATCCACAAAAGGCATGTAGACAGGATGGGCAAACTCCCATGACCCCTCGAGGACCCTAATGATGGTAAAAAGTTGATCCAGTGTTCCACGGCCAGGACGGAATCCATATTGTTCCTCCTGGATCTGAGGTTCGACCAACAATCGGACTCGCTTCTCCAGTACCCCTGAATAGACCTTACCAGGGAGGCTAAGGAGAGTGATGTCACTATAATTGGAGCACACCCTCCGGTCCCCCTTTTTGAAGAGGGGAACCACCACCCCAGTCTGCCAATCCAGTGACACTGGCCCCAATGTCCACGCAACATTGCAAAGGCATGTCAACCAAGAGAGCCCCCAAACATCCAGAGACTTAAGGAAATCAGGAAATCTCATCCACTCCCGGAGCCCTGCCGCCTCAGAGCTTTTTAATGACCTCGGCGACCTCAGCCACAGTTATGGATGGATCAACCCCAAAGTCCCTTGACTCAGCTTCCTCAATGGAAGACATGCTGGTGGGATTGAGAAGGTCTGAGAAGTATTCCTTCCACCTCCCGACACCAACGTTGATTGCTCAAAAGAACCACATCTCGCAGCAGGTGAAGATATTCTTTTAACTGGCTTTTTTAGCTGCAATGGCCCATTTAGGACCAGTTACATTCATATGCATGGAGACAAGTCAAAGAATGCACACCGACTAGTTATCTGCAGACTTTGTTAACAGTATGCATAATTTTGACCCTTTATGGATCAATCAAAATCCACAATAATTTTTAAATGGTGCATCTATTTTGTTTTGAAAAACCCCTGTAGTTGTATGTTGTTTAATCACTCCACCGTGGAAACAGTCATTTAAATAAATCATGAAAAAGGCCACAAAGATAATGATCTTCATGTCAGCGATGAGTGGAAACTTGTGACATCAAATGCATTTGGTGTGTTTCATTGTGTTGAAGTTTTAACGCTTTAATTCAGGACTAGTATAGGAACAATTACCACCTACCATATTCTTTCTGTCTGCGTTTCCCTTCTGCGCTGCCATCTGGTACCTGAGGAGGATGAAGAGGAGTCAGAGTGAGTAATAAAGAAGAATGATGACAACACTAGACAGCTACTCCTGCCTGACACCTTCACATCAACTGAAAATAAAAAAACAAACTTGAGCTGTTCCTGCTGCCCTCCAAACACGTCACCTGTTACATGTTCTTTTGTTATCTGGAAGGAAACTCTTCATCCCACATTATAATAAACATTGCTGACAAATGATTGCCTGAATTAATTACTTCCTTTTTTCATCTCATTGTCTTTATTTTAGGTTCACTTCCCTACCTATGAAAGATTATGAGCAGAGAACAATCTGTTCTCTGAACACTTTTCATGACAGCCAAACTTTTAACCTTTAAAACTGATACTATAGTTTTGGCCGATTCGTTCCAAGTTGAATGCTGCAAGCTCAAAATAAAAAGCAAGCTCCTCTATTTTACAAAATGCCAGTTTACTTTTCTTTACAACTCATTTCTGTTCAAAAATACTTTCAGTTTGAGAACAAACGGTCATTTGTCAGAGCTTTATATAATAAAAGGATAGAGCAAACAGGATGTGCCTGAAGCCTCATCAGCTGGTACAGAAATTCATCCAGAGCACGACAGTCCTTCGAGTCAAACCATCCAATGGTTCATGACATATTTTAATGACTAACACAGTCTTAAAAAAAAAAAAAAAAAAAAAAAACTTTTAACTTTGGTGGCAGACAAACATTTTTGTTTGCTTTATTTTAGCAGGGGTTCTCAAACTTTTGGGGTTCAGAAACCCCTTAGAGAGGAGAAAAAGTTTCAGTGAACCCCTCATAACCCTCATGTTCATTAAATAATTTGCTTTAATTTTTTCTCTTTAATGCATTGAAAATATTTGTCTAACATAAATACTTCAGACCTGTTCTTTAATAGTGTTAATACAATTTTTAGACCGTTATACATGGACTATTTTTCATTCAAGACACACACTTTTATTTCTCAATTAAATTAACTGAAAAAAATACACACACACACATTTTTCTAATTAATTTTATTTATTTATTTATTCAATTTATTTATTAATTTACTGGCAGACCCCCAAGCACCGGCTCACAGACCCCCGGGGGTGTGCAGTTTGAGAACCACTGATTAAGAGCAAATAAATTTTCTGGGGGCAACACACTTTTTTTTTTTTCCCCTAAACTGCAGATATTTTTCAATTTTATTGCATTACGATGAACCACACCAAGTGAGATTCCCAACTTCACAATGAGAAAATGTCGAGTTAAAGTTTAGCAGCTCTCCGATCAGCTGGAGGAACGGAGCCCCCACAGAGCAGTGCAACCACCTGGAGGTTAAAGTGGGAAAATGCAGCCAGTCCAGATGTGAGGTCAAAGCAAAAAGTTGTTTAAAAACAACTGGTGAAGTAGTTTTTTCTATGAAAATACGGCTGAATGGGCTGATGAAATTTGCTGAACAAGATCAAACTGAATTATTAAAGTAGAACAAGCAGAACATGAGCTAAAATGAGCAGAAAGTTGACCAAATGTAGCAAGCTTGTTGACAAGCTGAACAAAGCAGAAGAGTAGCCAAAGGTTAAGTGTTAGAATGATGATAAAAAACTAAAAGTAGCTAAATACTGATGCCGATGTCAAAGAGAACACGTTTTTGAAGAGTCACTATGGACATTTATTTAAGCTAATTATTGTGAAAAGTATCAAAGTCACAAAAAAGTCATAGCACCCTATTACTGATAGAAACGAGTACTGGTATATGAAAATATATTTTTTAATAATGTTAAAGCAAAAATATATATTTTCATTTCTATGACTTCTTTTTGACCATGATACTTGTCCCAAGAATTAGTTTAAACTTTGATACATAGTGACTCTTCAA